AAAAAAAAAAAAATCTACAAGATATTGTGCTTCAACTTAAATGTCAGGATATTTAACATTTACATTTAATATACCCCTTTCACCGCACCGTAGCAAAGCTGAATGGCAATCACATTTAGTAAGTGTCTCAGTTACTCTTCTCTCATTGCTGGGACAAATACCCAACATCCAAATGAAGGAAGGAAAGGTGTATTTAGCTCACAGTTACTGGAGGCTTCCGTCCATACTCAGCTGGCTCCAAGGCAGACGGCAACCTTTCATGGCGGCGGCAAAGAGCAAGAGAGCAAGGGAGTAGTAGCAGCAACAATGGCTACAGAGAGGAAGTCTAACTCTGTCTCTCTTATGTTACATTCTGGCTGTTCACTCCAGGCTGGGTGTAGCACTCACACCCTTAATCCCAGCAGTACTAAGGCCCATAATCCCAGTGGATCATGAGTTAATCTCAAACTCTAAATCCCAGCCCCATGACTGCATGAGGCTTTGGAGGGACAACTAGACACAAACCATAATAATTGGCTTATGCAAAAGATAATTGCTTAGATTTTGTTAGTTTTTAAAAAATCAAAAAGTTCTTTGTTGTTTGGGAGTACATTTAAACTACATCGAGATTAATCTTATTTGAAGATGATGCTATGGAGGAGATCGGGATAGGAGGTCTATTTCCTCTACAGTAAAATATATACACACACACAAACCTCCTCCACCTGGCCAGTCAGTTACCCAACACCTGTGAGTAATTACAAGGCTCCGGGCATGTGACTTGTTTTAAGAGCCTGTCATCTGTACTTTAGTGCGTTAAGCCCATGAATGACACATAATGGAAAAAGCGCCAAGTGCAGACCCTTCCTGGCATACCGATGCTATCTGTCCTGCTTTGCGCAGAGTACTGCTGTGTGGAGCACAAATAAGAGCATTCCTGTAAAAGGATCAGAATACTTTTCCTACTCAACAGTGAGATGTTAATGTTAGTACTAAAAACAAATTTAAAAAAAACATTAAAATCATTATTTTTCTGGTGCCAGTCAAGATACACTGCCCTCGGCCCACTTCCCAGGATATTTGGAAACGCTTTCAGTTTAAATTTGCAGTGCTTCCTCTGCCCAACCTGGCCTCTCGCAGCGACGGACAGTAACCCGTGGGCCATGATTCTGGATAGGACCCCTGACAATATGCACAGTGCCTACTGCAAGGTATAGTCTACCGTGTATAGAACGTACAGGATAGGGCTAGGAGATAGCTCGGGGTCTAAGTGCCTGCCTGCAAGCACAAGGACCCAAGTTCGATCCCTGGTACCATATGCTGTGCTGACCCCGGAAACCTGGGCGCCTGGCCACTGAAACCAGGCGTGGTGGCACATGCCTGTAATCTTAGCACTGGGAAGGCTGAGACAGGAGGATCTCTATGAGTGCAAGCTGCATAGCAGAGCCTGTACCAAATAAATAAATAAATAAATAGTTTTAAAAATTGAAAAAAAAAAAATAACAACATACAGGACACGTTGCATGACACCACAGGAAGAAGACCCTTGGTAGAGCCAGACCAGTACACTGGCATGAATCCCATTTATCAGATGCAGAATGCTTCCGTGAAGAAATTTTAGTATAGCCTTACACAGTTTTTTCCTACTAGTGACCTCTTGTATATACACAATAAAAACTACTTAAATATATGATAGATCACATAAGACTGAGTCCTTGCATTAACTCCCAAAACACAGTCACTCTGGCTTTGCATTTGTATTAATCATGTCTTGCATTTTCTTAGGAAAACAGGACAGGTACAGCAGCAGAGGACTGAGATGTCCTGAGTCCAGGGCAGCAAAGGACAAAGGCTGCACTGCTAATCCTCATCCTGGGTTGGGGGCCATGCCCAGCACAGTCACCACTGACAAGGACAGAGGATGTGGTCTTCCGTGAACTTTTTTTATTTTTTATTTTTGGCAGAACCGGAGTTTGAACTTAGGTCCTTGCGCTTGCCAGGGAAGTGCTTATTCCATTGAGCCATCTCATCAGCCCCTTCTGTGAACTTCTCGCTCTACTCTATAAATTACTTGCCTCTCTAGGATAACATAAGTTTTCTAGTCATTTTGAAAACACAAGTCAAAACTCTTACGGCGAGGATAGACAGGCACTGTGTTTGTGGATGTCGACTACCCAGGTAAACGTAAACCATTTGGACAACTGGGAATTTCAATTTTGCAGCTAGCAGTACATTTAACACCACATTCCCGCACATCATGAGGGTCATGAGTCCAGAATTTCTTTTCAGATGTCAGTTTTTGGCTGTTGAGATGTGGATCATGCTTGGAGTTTACACTGCTTCCATTTTCCTGGTTATGTGACAGCCTCCTGTCCAGAGGCTGCACTGCAGGGCACTGGGGCAGTTAGCTCTATGCCTGCCTATAGTGGCCGTCTATTTATCTATTTTTGGCAGTGAAAGTGGATTGAACCCAGTGCCTCCACACTGAACTAAGTACTCAGCCCTTCACTTATTCTGTACCGTGGGGCTTTTTTTGTTTGACAGTAAGTCTTGCTAAATCACTGAGTGGCCCAAGCTGGGCTTGGGCTTGTGCACCTTCCCTGTCTGCACCACCACAGCGGCTCAACTAAGCTAACTGGGATGCATTACTATAGCAGGGAACAAGGAAATTTAACAGACATAATTCAACAAAAATTCTGTAAAGCCTGCCTGTGCAAGTCACCCCAGCAAGTGAAGTCATTCATGACTTCCCACAATGTGGGAGCAAAGTCCACACTCCCTGGTGTGGAAACCAAGGCTTTTCACAGTCAGCATCCAAAAGGTTTTTTGAGCCTGCAGGCATTTTTCTCTCCCACAAGCCATACACTAGCCCTGTGGAAGAACCCCCTACAACATATCCTGCACTTCCACCTCCCTTTACTGCTGCTCCTACTTAGAAGGAGTTTCCCATTGTCTCCAAGAGCAACTATCTAAGCACCCTTTCCAGTTCTGTTGAAATGTAAGCCCATGTAAATCCACGCTCCACAAAAGGAAGAATTTTTCTGTGTTTTCCAGGTTGTTTTATCTCTAGAAAGCAGTCCCACATTCAAGTATGCGTAGCACTAAGTGAGCGCATGGCTCTGGGATGGTACTTCCCTTACTAAACAACGCCCAAATTATTTATTCTCTGATCATCTCTATGCACTGATCTTCTAACACCACACTGGGGCCACAGTTTTACATAAATCCCTGCCATTGAACATGAACTGGAAAGCAAAGATCAAATAGGACTATTTCTTTTATCTATCCCTAGCATCAGTGTAGTACAGCAGATAGCAGACTAACCCCAGGCGCCGCCTAACTGTTTGCTAAGTAAAGTGATAACGTGGAATTTAAATTCCAAATCCTTCTGCTTCCCTTCTACATTTATTCTAGGAAGCCACAAGGTTAGGCAGTGCACAAAGCCAGGAAAAAACGCCAGACTTCCTGCGCAACAATAAGCATGCATGAAAAACATAATAGTAACTGAAAAACAATTTTTTAGTAATGGCAGAGATGGCAAAAAGCAGATGAAACAGAAGCAGACTGTAGGAAGCACAGAATAACAAGAGGCAGAAAAGCAAAATGGTCTGCTGTCTTTACAAAAAGGCGACCAAACGATCATTTTAAACGGAAATCAACATATCAGCTATCCAGTTTGTTTATTTAAGAATTCGAGTTTATGTACTACAATGGCAGAAATTTTCTTTGATGTATATTATAAGAGATGAATGACACTATCCTTATAACTTTCTTTGAGGGAGTAAAATTTAATAATCAAGCAACTTATGAAGAAGAAAAGCTAAAGATTTCCCTTTTGGTGCTTAGCCAAATGAAATGCAGTTTTCAAGTATAAACTGACAACACTCAAAAAAATGAAAATTCCAAGGAAACACATCCTATTAAGTGTCATTCACATTCAGCTGGACAAAACACAAAAGGCTTAGATTAATTCTACCTCAATTTGATTAGAAGCTACAAAATTTTCTTCTTCTGGTTGCAAATGAAGTGAACATTTGGTGGCTTCTCTACGTTTGTGCTGCTCAGTGACTTGGGGCAGCAGAGGAGCCACAAGGCAGGCAAACAAGGTCAACTGCACTCACTCAGAAGACAGAAAAAGCCCATGCTGTCTCCTCACCTACTTGAATGCTAGAAGTTTTGTGGCAGGAAAGTGCTGATTGTACTTATTTTTCACTTACGGGTTGGAGGAGGTAGATGAGGGATTCCTCTTGTATGACTATAGTTGGCATGGGAATGATGTCAGCAGCTCTGTACAGGGTGTTCACAGACGCCATAATCTGGTCAAAGCGCCCAGAAAGGCCTCCCAGCGTCACAATGACATCGACCTAAGCAAGGCAGATAAAACTGAGCGTCAAGATTTACAGAATTTCACATTAACTAAATCGCATCAAACTCGTGAAAAGAGCTTTTTTGTAGTACAAATTGTATTGGATAAAAAAAAAAGTAATAAGACAGATAGGATGCAGAAATTAAATGATGGTTAAAGTTCAATTTCATAGAACTAGAGTGGGGTGTGACGACCAAGGCTTTTGTAAATACGTTCAGTCTTTCCCATCTGCCTATTTACACAGAAAACTAGCTAACTAATGCCTACACATCCATTGATTAATTTATATATGCCTTTTCTGTGGCTGTCTTCTCTAATTAATGTTTCTTCACAATCAAACCTGGAATGTAGGCAGGTGCATGCACACACACGTTCTCTCTCCTCTCTCGCTCTGTCTCTCTCCCTGTGTCTTTCTCTCTCTCTCTCTCTCTCTCTCTCTCTCTCTTTTCTGGAGCATGAACACAGAGCCTTGCACATGCCAGGGAAGCCACCAATGAACTACATGTCCCACTCAAAGCTGGCTGTTAGATGATGACATGGGAAGGTGGGAGACCTTACTTAAAATATTATAAGACACCTTGTGCATATAAAAACTGACAGCAATAACCATTCTACTTGATACAGTTATTTAACAATAGACAATGTTTCATTTAGGATTTCAGGAGCACATTAAACAAGCTTAGATAATATGTCCATAGAGATGGCATGTTTTTATAACAACCTATTACATGAGCACCAACCCAACCAGTTCAATTCGTAGAGTAAAAATAAATAAGCAGTCTTAGCTCAAACATCCAAAAGTTATTTTAATATTTTTTAACTTTTGATTAAATGATTATGGTTCTGTTGCTTTGTACATAGGTACCTAACACTTGTAGATGCTCAAGTGTTCTATGAATGAATACACAAATACACCACAAGACGCCTAAGCCTAACAGAGCCACTGGCGTACTACGGAATGCATACATCGACATGGGATTTAGGACAACATTAAAAGGGCATTATACAGAGTAAGCAAGATACTGGGGATGTTTCTCCTTTTGATCTCATTAGAATACGAGGGAAATGAGAAACTTTTTGCAGAGATCTCCTCTTCTTTGGAGGGAAGAGGTAACTTGCAAGCAGTTGCCTGCTGAAGAGACGGCTTCCATTTGGAGTATCAAGTCAGATAAATAGTTTCTGTTTGTGTCTAGGATTTCTTTCTTTTTTTTTTTTTTTTGGGTACCAGGAAATCAAGCTCACAACCCCTTGCTTGCCAGGCAGGCACTGTGCTGCAGAGCTGTATCCCCAGCCCTAGGAGGTCTTTGGATACCTACTCCCTTACCATTGAGAAAGGTCAAGAGAATCTAAGTGGGCTTAGGTAAACGAAAGAAAATTTGCTTTAAATTGAGGAAAAGCAAAAGAATTTGTGCATGAAGTACAGACAATTTTAGCATTCCAGTGAATAGAACATTGAAATATTTCTATTGAAATAATTCTTTTTTTTTTTTTTTTTTTTGCGGGACCAGGGATTGATGGCAAGTGCTTATTCTACTGAGCCATCTCCCCAGCCCCTCTATCAAAATAATTCTAATTCACATGAGAAGCAATATGTGATAGAAGTTTATTCACTACGCAGATTCTGGGGCCCTCTTCTTGAGTTCTCAATTTCTCATTCCTACATTCTGGCCCCTGAGGGATTGCACAGCCTTTAAGACTGCAATTCCACTCCCATCGTCTACAACGGGTGCCATGATACATCAGCAATACCTGGAAATCAGTCACTGAATTTTTCAGAAGAAAGAAACTGCAAGATTACTGCTCATCACTTCTCATTTTCCCTACGGGAAGTATTTAGCAAGACTGATGAAAAGCATTAGCAGATCAATTCGAGCTGCAGGTGGGGTGAGGGAGAAATGGGGCTTCTAATCATTTCTGCGGTTCTCCAGTTGTAGCTGAGTGCAGGTCACGGTATCCACAAAGAGAGAATTAGAAGCTGTCTCTCTGTGGGATTTACAAGGCTGGAGTTCTGTCTTTGGGGCAGGGTGTTCAAGCTACAGCAGGCCATACGTGGACTGCCAAGTGGCTTCTCCACGTCAACTCACAGCCCTATGCATTTATGCCTAATGCCACCTCATCATGCTTTGTGATGCCTTTGATACACTTGTGTGCATGTCCTTGAAAGGAAACAAGTGAATCACAGAATCCAGAGTCTACCACGGAGTAGTTAAGCATTTGCTCAGCTCTCACTAAACATATACAGCCTCAGGGCAAAAACTGATGGTAATAACCAGAGGGGCAGAAGGCTGAGACAGTGATACAGGGAATCTCCAAATGACACAGGGAGAAAAATGATCTCCCAACCTAAAAGGTATCTGGGATGAGTTCATGTTCTCTAAAACCAAAAAATGAATTTAAGGAAATAAATGGAGGTCATGAGCAGAATATATTTATTGAGGGAAAGAAAGTTCCTGTCTGAGAGAAGGACTGGAGGGGGGCCCAAGCAGGTGGTCCCCAGGAAGCTGTCTCTCCTAGGCACTTTTATAGAGTAAAACCATGCAGTGAGGCGGGTCTAAGGTGGTGGAGAACATGGCAACTCACTTAGGTGGGCATGAGGTGGGACAAAACTATGGTCAACCAATGAGATTACAAGCACCATTGCTCAGGTAAAATTGATTAAATCCAGTACCAAATAGGGAAGCGAGTCACATAGCAAGCAAGCATGAATACGGGACAGGGTCTCTTCCTGCTGGGGGTTGTTGGGCTAGTGACTCATATGGGCTCTCTTTCAAGGTGACTGATACCTATTTAGAATATCAATCCCTGATGCCCATCCCTAGGGAAGCTGTATGTTTCCTCTTTTGTCTTGAGGGCTGGCCCATATGTGTCTGTCTCTTCTAAGTTATAAAGTCACCTTGTCTTCCATCTTGTCTCCCTGAGGGCCTGGCCCTGTCTGACTGACTATAATATTTCTATCTAATTCAGGTGCCGACAACAACAGTATGAACTAGTTCCTATGAAATAGTACTTCCTCATTTGACAAGGGCCATTCATTCATTCATTCATTCATTCATTTATGTATTTAGTACAGGGTCTATAGGCCTACAGTCTCATTACACAGATCGGAATCATTGGGATTCTCCTCTTTGCAGCATCCCAAGCAGACCACGCCCAGTCTCAATCGCTGTGTCAGCACACCCCGGCGGAGGGGCTGGCACAGCGGGGATCGAACCCCGGCCGCTGCGCTCTGCCCAAGCAGGCGCTTTAGTCTGCTGAGCTATCTGGCTGGCCCAGAGGTTGGTTTTAAAAGTTACCAGATTTAGAAAAAGTTAACATCACATTTATTATCTCAAAAATGTATCTGACAAATCTATAATGTTCATTTTCAAATTAATGACTGAGATCAACAAATTGGCAAATATTTATTGATTATAACGGTCAAAAAATATTATAAACATTTAAGATGTATCCGTAAAGAAGGCAAAAGTCCTTTCCTATCCAAGGTGGAGACTGACATCCGTGAGATAAAACTTAAAAAGTGAGTACTGTGTATTAGCTAGACCATAGAAAAGGTAGTAAAAGCTAAAGAACTAAGAGATGGAGGATAACAATGACAGCTGGGAGGAGGGTTCAGCTTTACATAAGGCAGTTACAATAGGCTGCCCTGAGAAAGCAACAGACCAACAGCAAGGACCCGAGAGAGGTCCAGGCAGTAAGCCACCCGTGGGGACACCTTGGGGCAGAGGTGGTGGAGATGAGGGGTGTTTCAGAGACCAGCCTGAAGCAAGGCCACAGAAGTCACAGCCCCAGGCATTTGCACAGAGCTGCAGGAGGCTAGTTGCTGAAAGTGAATTAGCAATCAGTAAGAGCAGCAGGAAAACTCAGTAAAATAGTAGGAGTGCCAGATTCCTACAGTTCTGTCCCCAAATGCAAGCTCACATATCCAAGTGCCTGCTGAACATCTGCGTTTGGATATCCATGGGTGACCTCAAAGTTAGACTGATCTTTGTTTCCCCTTTCCATGTTTCCCAGGTCAGTTGGTCCACAGTCCTAGGGTCCTTTCTGACACTTCCGTTCTAGGGAATCCTATGGCTGTGCTTTCAACAGGCATCTGTATCTGTCATTCCACCCACAGTCTCAGCACAGCCATGATCAGCCCACTGCAGTCCCATGGGGCGGAGGGTGAGCCCTGTGTCCTGTAAGAGCCTCTAACAGATCTTTCTCCAACCGGCCTTATTTACTCCCCAGCTATTTTTAGTAGAGTACCCAAAATAATCCTGTTAAAATAGAAATCACATCATGACACACTCTCCTGCTCAACTCCCCCTCCCAACAGTTTTGCAAAGATTTATATTAGGCTCTACCAAGCCCTGAGGGGGTTGATATCCTGTTACGGCCTGGCCGCCCCTTTGATTTCCCTCCTCTTCCTCCATTCTGCTTCACCCATAGCAACTGCATCCTTCCTCCTTTATGAAAAGAAGATATTTCCACAACTAAGTAGTAAGAGAGTAACAATAGCCATTGTGTTATGCATCATTATCTTCAGAGCAGTTAGTATAAGATAAAACAAAAAGATTCTTACAAAAGAGAAGCAAACAGGTAACACAAAATTTCTTCAATGAACTATGATGCCATAAAGAAAGATAGAATGTCACTGGAGAACATAACATTAAGTGAAATAAAGTCAGACAAGATGATTAAATTAACCTATTTTCGTGTATATATTTTACCTCACACTATTTTATAGTAGGCACACTTAAAATCTACCTGCAGCCAGTTTCAAGTATATAATATATTGTTTTTAACTATAGTGACCATAATATACAAAAGATTTCTGGAATTTATTCCTTCCAAAATTTTGGATCCTTTATGTCCGCCTCGTGACTCTACCCTCAGCCTCTGGAAAACATTATTCCAGGCCCACTTTCTACGAGCTCAGGTGCCTTCGGGAGTCTACACGCAGCAGGATCCTGCACTACTTTTCTTTCCATGCCCAGGTGATTCTGCTTAACAAAACAT